AAACAAGTAAGAGTGCTATATTCGGCTGTGCCGAATCTTATATACCCTTCACCACAGTGTATTTAAAAATATCAATTCTATAAAATTTTAATTTATTTCATTTATATCATTAATATAGCAATAGAAAAACTAACAACAACAACGCTAAACGAAATAAACACACAAATAAACAAAATACACAAGGCAGTAAAACCAACAGACATCCAAACATACGAAACGAAATGCACAAAAACAAAATAGACAACGCAATGAAACCAACAGACATCCAAACATACTGTTAAGGTGAAAACCTTAACTTTTCTTTTAATTAATGAATTTATTGAATTGAATATAACTCCATTTTTTATTAATATTAGTTTAACATACTTTTACTGTATTAAATTGTAATAGAATTACATTAAAACTTTAAGGGAAAAATATTGCCCTAAAGTTTCATCCCTTCTTATCAAATCGGTTTTGAATTTCCGTTCACTTCATTTTGAAGAATATCTCATATTAAAAGTATAATAAGTTAAACAGCACGACGTGCTTCAAATAAAGTAGATATTGAAATTGAAAACTTCCCGATTGGTTTTATTTTCTTGATAAAGGGAACCGACGGACACCATCGAGAAGATATAAACGGTTCAGTTTCGACGAAATTGAATCCCTTTTTAATTATTTCACGATACTAGGTCCTGGTAGTGAACATTGGTCCTTCGTTGCAGTCTTAGTCAAGGCCTTGGAGTCTATACTGGTCTCAATTTAATTCAGAAATTGTCAAATCATTATATTATTGAAAGCTAAGTATCATCCCCGATTTGTACAGAAAATTACATCTCTGCAAACCTCTTTAAAACCCTTGCTAGAGATGAGTGGAAGAAGAATGTAAGTACAAGATAAATTATAAGAAAACAATTGACATAAACGGTGTGTGTAGGAATGTGCAAAAAACAGAACTTAAAAGTGAAAATTTGTGCATTTTAACATAATAAGTGAGAAGGATTACATAATTCAAATTCTTATTACATCGCCAACGCTTTAAATTCCAATATACATATGTACATACATATTTATGAACATTTAGTTTTCCAAGTTAACGAAATATAATTCATGTACATATGTAAAAAATAAAAACTTCGTTTCGCTCTCTTGTGTGGAAGTTACATTTTTTTATGATACTCTTTGTTCTTCTCATTTTATCTCCCGCTTGATTCTCTTAAGCCATTGCATATTATTAAAAGTAATCGATAGATATTTGTCATCGCTAGTTGATCTTCTGACAATTGAAAAACAATTTAAAAGAGACATACGAAACAAAACCAACGTGTTATAAAGCAAAATACAATAATATTTTATATGAAAAGAAATGCAAAAAAAAAAAAACACAAAAATAAATTTTAGAAAAAATCCAGAAACAAGATAATTGCAACATAAATTAAAATTTAAGAAGTGTTAAGCAAACAATTAATACAATTTAGCAATACAGTGATTTCCAAGAATATTTTATTAGCTGTTTGTTAAGCTAATTTTCTTATTGAGACGAAGCACAGTGGTATAGGAAATAAAAAAGAGGGAAATAATTCGGTAACTTCTAAACGGTTAATCCGATTTTGATGAAATTTGGTATGCACAAAGTGGACACCTCGGCTATGTTAAATTTTTAAAACGATCCTATTTCTTCATTTGAGTTCCGATTTAAAAAAAAATTTCGTATATAGAATCTCCTCATCGAGCACTATAAAAAATGTTTTTTAAGTGACAAATTAATTAGGGAAAACTCTACATCTTTTAGAAAATTTACCTAGCGCTATTATTTTCATCCATATATGTAACAAATTTAAGAGTTAACCTTATGGATGAAAATAATAGTGCTAGGTAAATTTTCTAAAAGATGTTGAGTTTTCCCTAATTATTTTGTCACTTAAAAAACACTAGGTAGGCATGTTATATATCAATGGAAAGGTAATTTTGTATATTTTTGTATATAATTTTTGAAAATTAAAAAATTCGCGGAATACTTTTTTAAAAAAAATTAAAAAATGTTTTTTATTCAGTTTTTGCGAAGATACAAATTTTTCAAATTGCAATAAAAATTTTATTTATGAATATTTTTTGATGAAATTTTACAGTTAGGTAGATTTTTTTACTCAAAATCCAAAATTAAATAAAAATTTCGAATTTTCTTATTAGAAATCCCGGAATTCCCAAAAAAGTTTTAAAAAATCCCAAAAATGGGATTTTTTGGTTTTTTGCCTATTATATCCATACCAGGGGCGGGGTTATCGAAACCCGTTACAAAATGATTAAGAACATATTGGGTCATATAAAACAGGTCACTATAATTTGATATCGACTATGCGATTTGAGAATTTTTGCTCAAAATTGAATTTTCCATAAAAAATAGGGTTTTTTGGATGGACCTGGTCCCCTCGGTATCAAAAATTTTTAGGTTTTGTTTCATTTATCGTATTTTATGTAAAGTCAGCTTTCCAAAAAGTATAAATTCTATATACATCTTCTTAGAAACTTTTTAGATAACTTAAAAAGAAAAAGATACTTTTTTCCCAAAAAAATGACAAAAAATCGCCTTTTTTTAATTTTTTAAATTAAAATGCCTATAACTTTGGACTCAGTCATGATTTTTACATAATTCTTTTACTGTTTGATATATAAACTTGTTGTTAAGCGAATAATAAAAAAATGGCGAAAATCGGGAATACTTGGACCCGCTATTATCAAAAAAACTAAAGTAAGGACGGTAAAAATTTTAAAATTTTAATTTTCAAATGCGAATATCTCCTAAACTATAAGAGATAATTTACTGCTTGATGAGGAGATTCTATATACGAAATCTTTTTTAAATCGGATTAACCGTTTAGAAGTTACCGAATTATTTCCCTCTTTTTTTTTCCTATACCGCTGTGCGAAGTCTTCTACAAAATAGAAACCTATGCTGAGGAGGTCATCGAGTGAATTTGAATATCGGCAAAAGTATTTAAGGTAAGGGCAGTGGTAGACACAATCTTATTACATACATATATATATTAACCATTTATTCCCGATAATCCCTAACCTTGACCATACTTATAATATTCATATTTTTATTCACATTTATACCCACATACAAATAAAGTCGCATTTGAAAAGTTTTGAAAAAGTTTTCTAAGTTTTATTTGCGAATATAAAATTCTTAAACGGTTGTTTTTTATACCCTTCACCTTCGTGAGAAGGGTATATATAAGTTTGTCATTCCGTTTGTAATTTCCAAAATATAATTTTCCGACCCCATAAAGTATATATATTCTGAATCCTTATAGATAGCGGAGTCGATTAAGCCATGTCCGTCTGTCTGTCTGTCCGTCTGTCTGTCTGTTGAAATCAGTTTTCTGAAGACCCCAGATATCTTCAGGATCCAAATCTTCAATAATTCTATCAGACATGCTTTCGAGAAGTTACCTATTTAAATTCAGCAAAATCCGTTCATAAACAACGGAGATATTAGCAAAAATCCGAGACAACCTCTGAAAATTTCATAAAAAATAAACAACAACAACACTGCTTATTCATTGCCTTTGTATTTTGTTTTTGTTTTTTGAGTATTTCGTTTCGTATGTTTGTATGGCTGTGTGTTTCATTCACCCAATTTACACGATGATTTTTTTTCATGTTTGCCCAGACGTCTGTTTTCATGTTTGTCGATGATTGGTGGTGAGCGGGGTAGAGAAGAATGGGGGGTAAGAAAACAAACATGATTTGGGATTTTCATGATTGTTTTTGACATTCCTCTTTAAACTCATTCGCACTGTTGATATTATGCTCATGTAAAAAAATAATTATGTCTTTTTTTTACATGAAAACATTAAAATTTGCATTAAAAAAAATACTATAGCGTGTTATTAAATATTTTAAATCAAATTAAATGGTTTTTATGTTAAAAATTTCATTTTATTTTTATTACGAATAAGTAATTAAAAAGGATTATACAATTAAACATCAAAAAAAGACATGCATAGTTGCATGTAAAAAATCACCGTATAAATGTTCATGATTTTTTGGAAGATTCTCAAAAGAGAATTGGAAAAAACAGACGTCTGAAAAGTCTTCATGTAAATTGCGCCATTGTCTTGTGTATATTGTTTTTGTTTCTTGGTGCATTCAATTTCGTATGTTTGGATGGCTGTGTGTTTCATTGCCTTGTGTATATTGTTTTTGTTTTCTTGGTGTATTGAATTGGATTGGTATTGGATGTCTGTTGGTTTTACTGCCTTGTGTATTTTGTTTTTTGTGTGTTTATATCGTTTAGCGTTGTTGTTGTTCATTATGTTTTGCTATTGCTATAATAATGATATAGTCGTGAAAATTAATTTTTAAATACACTATGGTGAAGGGTATATAAGATTCGGCACAGCCGAATATAGCACTCTTACTTGTTTTATTTTCAAACATTAATTCCAAGTGTAAGGCGCAATTTACATGAAGACTTTTCAGACGTCTGTTTTTTTCCAATTCTCTTTTGAGAATCTTCCAAAAAATCATGAACATTTATACGGTGATTTTTTACATGCAACTATGCATGTCTTTTTTTGATGTTTAATTGTATAATCCTTTTTAATTACTTATTCGTAATAAAAACAAAATGAAATTTTTAACATAAAAACCATTTAATTTGATTTAAAAAAAATTAATAACACGCTATAGTATTTTTTAATGCAAATTTTAATGTTTTCATCTAAAAAAAGACATAATTATTTTTTTACATGAGCATAATATCAACAGTACGAATGAGTTTAAAGAGGAATGTCAAAAACAATCATGAAAATCCCAAATCATGTTTGTTTTCTTACCCCCCATTCTTCTCTACCCCGCTCACCACCAATCATCGACAAACATGAAAACAGACGTCTGGGCAAACATGAAAAAAAATCATCGTGTAAATTGGGTGTAACATAAAGATTGTTATAAACAAAAAGTAACTTTGATTGTGAGGCCATTGTTATCAGTTGTTTATAAAGTATATCATGAGCAAGACAGTGAAATTCATTTTGTCTTCTGACCACCTAGTTTCATTCTGCAATATTTTCGAAAAGTCTTCAGATGATCACACCATTAATTTACTAGAAGTCAAACTTCTAGACCTTAATGAAAGATGGGAAGATTTAGTTTCAGCCTACCATGATGCAATGATTTCTGAAGATGTAGGTGTTACAAAAGAGTTTCAAAATTCTGCTAAAGCAAAATTTGAAAGTTGTGCAGAATCGTATTACAAATGGAAATCAAAAATACTAGACCTAATAGCATTGGAAAAAAGTAAATCTGTGTCCAATCAACAACTTACGCCTGACATTCCCCAGCTTGAGCCGCGATTACCTAATATGCCATGCATTAAAGTACCGCCATGTGACACAGAAGAATTTTACGGTAGTTATGAGGATTGGCCAGCTTTCAAAGATATGTTTACTGCGGTATATATAAATCATCCCAAATTAACCAATGCCCAAAAACTTTATCACTTACGCAATAAAACGCGAGGTTCTGCAGGCACAATTGTAAAACGATATAGTCTTACCGATGAAAATTTCATCTTAGCTTGGGAAGCGTTAAAGTTAAGGTTTGAAAACAAATGGTTATTAGTAGATAAACAACTACAACTCCTCTTTGGTGTAAAAGTAGCCAACGTAGATTCAGGGTATGAAATACAAAGAATTCAAACCACTATTAATGATTGTATTACGATACTTACTTCGCAAGGAATAAGCATAGATAATTGGGATACAATTCTAATACATGTTTGCACCTGGAAACTTCCGGAGGAAACTCAAACTCTTTGGCAACAGGAAATTGCCAAAAACCCCTTTCCTAGATGGGAGACAATGAATGAGTTCCTCACTTCACGATATGAAGTTTTAGAGAGAATAGATAGTATTAGGAATCCCAAAGTTCATACCCGTACGCAAGAGAATCAAGCAAAGTTTAACACTCAACCAAATAAAAACAAATTTAACAATAATTCTAATCAGCCACGATCACAAAACTACTTTACCGATAAAACTGGTCAGACAGAATTAAAACAATGCAAATTGTGTAAGAAATCACATATTTTACGATCTTGCCCACAGTTTAAAACAATGCCTGTCAATGAAAGGATCGATTTTGTGATAAAAAACAAAATTTGCGAGAATTGTCTATCACCTGTTCATAATACATCTCAGTGTACAAGTACTTATTTATGTTTGGTTTGTAGAAACAAGCATAATACTTTAATTCATTCCGACTCTCAGAACCTAGATTTTAGCCCCAATACATCAGGTACAAACGTAAGAGCACAGGTACATTTAACACAATCTCAGGATGTGGAGAGTGAAGCTAATTATTCAGAGGAAGAAAGTTCTCAGGTTCAAACATATTTTACTGCTGATAAGTCACATACAATATTTCCAACAGCACTAATCAAAATCAAACATGAAGGTCAAGAATTTATAGCTAGAGCTTTATTAGATTTTTGTTCGTCTGGATCATTTATTACAGAAAGGTTACAGGTAAAATTGAATCTGACCTGTAATAATGTTCGCACTCATATTTCTGGAATGGGCGGTAATGTGACAAGTACATCAGAAAAGTTATGCGCATTCAAAATAGTAGAAAGGTTTCACAAGTTGGAAATCGATATTGAAGCCGCGGTTTTGAAAAGGCTTACAAAATTGCTACCATCATATAATATTAATCATGAATATATCCATGGCCTTGCTGATTTAAGTTTAGCCGATCCTAATTGTTTTATCCCTTCTAAAATCGATGTAGTACTAGGTGGTGAGGTAATTAATAAATTAGTCATTTCCGAAAGTCCAATAAAGAAGATCGGACCACTTATAGGTTTTAGCACTGTATTTGGGTAGATATTAAGCGGCCCAGTAAACTCAGTAAATACTTATTCCACATGGATTTCGCATGATAATGAAAAATGTACTAATGAGTTAGTTAAAAAGTTTTGGGAAGTCGAGGAAGTTAGAGAAGAGAAACTGCTTTCTAATGATGATAACTATTGTAATGAATTTTTCGAAAACACAACTATAAGACTACCCACAGGAAGATTCATGGTGAGATTGCCATTTAAAAAGGATTTTCCTTCCAAACTAATCCTCGGAACTTCTCGATTTGTGGCAAAAGCACAATACATACGAATGGAAAAGACGTTACAGAGGAATCAAGTCTTAAAAACTACATATAATGAAGTATTAGCAGAATATTTGAACTTAGAGCACATGGAGAAAGCCTCGAACCTAGAAATTCCGCATAACGGTTGCCACCAATCTTTTTACTTGCCCCATCACGCCGTAGTTAAACCTGATGCTAAATCTACTAAAGTAAGAGTAGTTTTTAACGCATCTAAGAAAACTAGCTCTGGGTTGTCACTTAATGATATTTTATATACAGGCCCAACATTACAAACAGACCTAACAATGGTTATTCTTAATTGGCGTTTATATAAGTTTGTATTTAATAGCGACATGGAGAAAATGTACCGACAAATTTGGATACACCCCGATGACCGTAAATTTCAAAAAATCCTTTTTCGAATTTCAGACCATGATATAATAGAAGACTTTGCTTTGAAAACAGTTACATTTGGATTAAATTGTGCCCCTTTCCTTGCTATTAAAACTATTCACACTCTAGCAGAAAATTCGGTTAGTTCTTTCCCTATAGCTGCAGAGATTTTAAAGAAGGAAACATATGCTGATGATGTACTCTCAGGAGGTCATAGTATTACCGAAGCAAAGGAGGCACAAAATCAACTTATAACTGTCCTTCAATCGGCAGGTATAACATTAAGAAAATGGATAGCAAACCACCCTGATTTATTGCAGAATATTGCTGAGAAAGACCGAGTAAACTCAAATATTTTTGAATTTTATGAATCGAGTTCAACCAAAACGTTAGGAATTAAATGGAATGCACTAAGTGATTCATTTTGTTACTCAATTGCGCCCATAAAAGCCTCCACACAGGCTACCAAACGTCAAATTTTGTCAAAGGTCGCTACCATATTTGATCCCGCAGGATGGTTATCTCCGATTGTAATTCAAGCAAAATTGTTACTCCAACATTTATGGCTCGAAGGAGATAACTGGGATTCAAATGTAAAACCATTATCTCTACAAAAATGGGTTCAATTTATTGAAAACATGGCCGATTTAGCGGACATTCAAATTCCAAGGTGGCTCCATTACTCGCCTATAACCAAAACACAGCTTCACGGATTTTGCGACGCCTCCGAAAAGGCATACTGTGCTACAATTTATATACGAAATACTGAACCGAACAATCAAGTCTCTACCAAACTTTTGTTATCAAAAACAAAAGTAGCTCCCTTACAAAAAACTAGTTTGCCAAGACTTGAACTCAATGGAGCTGTATTGCTCTCCAAACTCGTTAAAAACGTTCTCAGAAACATAAGTTTGAAACCCGAGGAAATCATATTGTGGTCAGACTCTTCAATAGTACTTTCCTGGGTAGACAAACCTCCTCATGTTTGGAAAACCTATGTTGCCAATAGAGTTTCGGAAATTAGGAAAAACGTAAACAATGCAACATGGCGCCATGTCCCGTCAGCTGAAAATCCTGCTGACTTAGGTACCAGAGGTTGTACCCCGAAAGAGCTCAAAAATAATTTATTGTGGTGGGAGGGTCCTGGATGGTTATCCCAGGAAAAAACGAAATGGCCTGTTAATCAAATAACTAAAATATTGGCTCCCGAAGCAAAATCCTCTGAATGTTACATATCACAAGAATATACTCTTTGTCCATTTAGTAAATTAACAAGAGGTACATCATCATCAATAAATAACAATATACAATGCCTATGTACAAATATACAAGATGATATATTAAAAGATTTCTCTTCACTTTCCCGAGCTCTACGAGTCATCTCTTATGCCTTTCGATTTATTCATCGAGGACTATTGAAGTATAGAAATATTGTCGAAGTGCCACAAGAGGATATTACTACTTCGGAGTTAAATTGGGTAAAAGATCGCCTCATAAGAGTTTCTCAAATTTTGTATTATCCCACAGAGTATGCCAATTTAAAAGCATCCATGGACATACCAAAAAAAAGCCCCATTCTATCGTTAACGCCTTATTTAGATGAGTCAGAAATAATACGCGTCAAAGGAAGACTTACAAACTCTGAAGACCTGACGTACGACGAACGTCATCCCAAAATAATTTGTCCCAAGTCCAAATTATGTGAGTTATCGGTACAATTTATTCATACTCTCCTCTTACATGGCGAAAATCAGCTTATGCTTTTAAATTTGCGAAGATTATATTTTATACCCAAAGTTAAAAACAAAATAAAATCATGTATATCTAGATGTAAAATTTGTACTATTTATAAGAAAAGAGTTCAAAGTCAATTAATGGGAGATCTCCCTTCAGAACGAGTCACCTTTGCCCCTCCCTTTACCCATACGGGAGTAGATTTTGCCGGACCTTTCCATCTAGAAGTTTCTTCTCTCCGAAAGGGTCGCACTTATAAAGGATACGTTTGCGTATTTGTATGTTTTACCACTAGAGCTATACACTTAGAGACTTGCTCAGACCTCACTACAGAATGTTTTTTGGCCGCATTTGCACGATTTGTGAGCCGTAGAGGATTCCCCAAAGGCATATATTCAGATAATGGTAGGAATTTTGTAGGCGCCAATAAACAGCTCTTGAAAGAGTACAAACAATTTATAGAAACAGCATAAAAGTCAGTTATTCGAAAGTATCAAACTCATGGCATGGAATGGCACTTTATACCACCCAGTGGTCCCAATTTCGGAGGCATTTGGGAGGCGGCCGTTAAGAGTTTTAAAGGGCATCTAAAAAAAACTGCGCAAAATACCATTTTTACTTTCGAAGAATTTACTACACTCCTATGTCGAATAGAAGCAGTATTAAACTCACGTCCATTATCTGCTATCAGCGATGATCCCTCTCAAATACTCCCTCTTACCCCAGGTCACTTCCTTCGTGGAATGCCCATAATGGAAATCCCGGAGCCCGATAAGTTTGATTTGACCCTAACTAATCGATGGGAAAATATAAAAATTCTACATTATCGGTTTAGCAGAAATTGGAAGTCCGAATACTTGAGAGAATTGCAGAAACGCGTGAAATGGAAATACCCGCAAAGGGAGATCGAGTTAAATGACTTAGTAGTAATTGTTGACGATACTTTACCCCCAACCGAATGGAGACTCGGACGAGTCACACAACTACATACGGGAAAAGATAACCATGTAAGAGTTGTTTCTTTAAGAACCCAAAATGGATCGATGACGCGACCCATTTCTAAAATTGTACTCTTACCTAAAGACTAACTCCCTAAAATTTATCATTTTTTTTGCACATACATATTCCAAACACACACCTACTCCTCCACCCACATATACGTATTTGTATGATACTTACAAAATATTTCTTTTCCATATAGCTAAAACTTATAATCGTTTTCTCATTTAACGCATAAGTTTGTCATCGATTTAAAATATATAAAATTTTTATTCCAGTCGCCCTAACCTACACACTTGCCGATTATGCAGAAAACATTATTCACTACGCTTTCTTAATATGTCTATAAGGGAAAGAAGATCCACGGTTAAGGAATACGGCTATTGCTTCAATTGCTTGGCTTTATCCCATAATGTTGCTTGGTGCAATTCTGGAAGATCGTGTAAATATTGCAAGGGGAATCATCATACCTACTTACATTTTCTTAAACATCCCCGCGTAGAGATTGAGAAACGGAAAAGCAATGGAAGTTACAAAGTTAAGCAAGAGAGGAAAACGTTCAGAGCGCATAAAAACAACAAACTTCAATATAAAGAAAGACAAAATTCTTCTAAGTCCACTAAAGATACTCTTGATCAACTCAAAGCTGCTGTTCGTGCATTAGAAATATTCCATGAAGCGTTATAAATTGCAACGTGGCAAGTCCGGGGCCATGTTAAGGTGAAAACCTTAACTTTTCTTTTAATTAATGAATTTATTGAATTGAATATAACTCCATTTTTTATTAATATTAGTTTAACATACTTTTACTGTATTAAATTGTAATAGAATTACATTAAAACTTTAAGGGAAAAATATTGCCCTAAAGTTTCATCCCTTCTTATCAAATCGGTTTTGAATTTCCGTTCACTTCATTTTTTAGAATATCTCATATTAAAAGTATAATAAGTTAAACAGCACGACGTGCTTCAAATAAAGTAGATATTGAAATTGGAAACTTCCCGATTGGTTTTATTTTCTTGATAAAGGGAACCGACGGACACCATCGAGAAGATATAAACGGTTCAGTTTCGACGAAATTGAATCCCTTTTAATTATTTCACGATACTAGGTCCTGGTTGTGAACACATACGAAACTGAATACACCAAAAAACAAAAACAATATACACAAGGCAATGAAACATACGAAACGAAATACTCAAAAAAAAAAGCAAAAACAAAATACACAACGCAATGAAACCAACAGACATCCAAACAAACGAAACTGAATGCACCAAGAAAAAAAAAACAATATACACAAGGCAATGAAACACACAGCCATCCAAACACATGAAACGAAATACTAAATGAATAAGCAGTGTTGTTGTTGTTGCGTATATCAAAGCATGAAAGAAATTGTCTTTTTTATGAAATTTTTAGAGGTTGTCTCGGATTTTTGCTCATATCTCCAGTATTTATGGACCGATTTTGCTGATTTTAAATAGCGATCTTCTCGAAAGCATGTCTAACAGAATTATTGACGATTTGGATCTCGCCGATATCTGGGGTCCTCTAAAAACTGATTTCAATAAACACACAGACGGACAGACAGACAGACATAGCTTAATCAACTCCG